ATGAACATAAAATATTATACTGTAAGCCTGTACAATTAAACATGGAATAACACAACATAATATAGTTTGCTTCATGTTCACAGAACCTTATCCCTGAAGGCATTTTCCCACTACACAACAAATCCGTTGAGCTTGATCAAGAATTAACACACACATGAACTTGACTGATTGCTTCTTCCTTATATTGTTCTTTTACAGTTCCAAACAATTTGCATTTTTGTTAATTTATGGTGTTTTTAAAAATAAATTCCGTTCTAAATTGCACTTATTTAACTTTCACTCAGGGGAGCTTTAAACTTATTGGTGATGTTGATAATGACTGACCTGTGTAACCTAGTGAGGAAAGATTCAGTGTTATAGACTTATTAATTAGGTGAGGTTTTAAGCCCTTACGACAAGTGTGCAGTTGCAACAGCTAAAAGACATTTATATAGATAAGATATATAGATTTGTTTTCAATAGAAATCTTCCAAATATTTGATTATATAAGAAACTATTGTTGATTTGGGGTGGTCCAGATTTTTATTGTGTTCAGTATGAACTTGATAATTAAATTAAAAGGGAAGGAAAGGACAGAGAAAGGTAAAATATTGTTTTGTTTATTAATTAAAATTACTTACAAATAAAATTGTTTCTGTACAGTATATTCATGAGCTGCTGAGGGCAGCAGAGGGAGTCGAGTGGTCTGAGCTGCTCTGAGCTGAGGTCAGGTTCAGGTAGCCCATCTCTGTGGATCGAGACAGGGGCCCAGAGATCAAACAGCGTGTGGAAGAAGTCACGTCTGTCTTTCTCTGAGTATTCTCCAATACGCCTTGAATTTCTGGCGGCTCAGGCATCATCACACTACGGACACAATAAAAGTTCACAGACATTTAATGGTGTTTAATTTAGCAGACAAACAGGTTTTCCTGAAGTTCTGAATAGCGATCAGATCTACCTTGGAGTTGGCACAGGCAGATGTTTAAAAACCGGTGTAGGAGTAGAAATTTTCTTTAATTCCTAAAACAACAAATGAAAAATTATGATGATTAACCATCTAAATTTCCCCTCTAGACATGTATTAAGAAATAGTCTGCATGGAACAATAATGTGTGTCTGATTCTGCAAAAAAAGTATACATTTTTGTCTCCTACTTCAATGTACTTCACAAACTTTTTGTGCTGCCCCAAATATGTTGCTCAGTGAGCACAGAGAAACGTTCAGCAGATGAGTGTGAAAACATTCCTTCTAGTGTCAAACTCTGCACATAAATCATTCCGCACAGTGACGCTCAAACATCTAACTGTAGGAACAAGAAGAAAAACATTATTGGATGGATTACGATGACGCTGGTGGTACACACATTCATGTCGCCCCCCAGGATGAATTTGAATCACTTTGATCAGTTTTCATATAGCGGCATCATCTGGCCAAAATGTGACTAGTTCTTTGGTTTATGACTAAATACCTGCAAAACTAATGACATTCCCATCAGCCTCAGCCTGTACGTTGTGTTTTGTGCTAATTAGCAAATGTTAGCAAATGCCTTAACAGTCTAAACTAAGTTGGTGAACATGGTAAACATTATACCGGCTAAACATCAGCATGTTAGCATGATCATTGTGAGTATGTTAGCATGCTGACGTTAGCATTAAGCTCAAAGCTCAGCTGAGCCGGAGTACAGCGCTGTTATATGGCTGCAGACTCTTAGCCTGGTTAATCCATCCAACAATTTAGTTTTCTGCCGTCTTACAATGGCCAAACAACAATAACATTAGCAGCTCCAGATCATAGCCTGTGTATAAAGATGAACAAGATTTAACTATGTCCGGTACCTCAGCAAAGTGAAGTGACTGCATGGTTTGCAGGCTGCGTTCCACGACAGCTAGCTGATTGGACATGTGGACTATTTTGTTTCCTAGTTTCTTGTTTTCCATCTCTAGAAAATCCACCCTTGAGATAAAAACAAACATCTCTTTGTCAATAAACACACATTAGAGAAAAGCACAGCATCAGCTATACAAATAACTTGAGCTATTTCCTTTGAACATAATGTGTAGATTCAGTGTTGACTGTAAGAGGTCAGTGTACCTGCATTTGGACAAAGAAGCTGTTAGATAACTGTCCTTCTGGTTGTGCTCTTCCTCATTTAGCTGTTGTAGAAGTCTCCTCCTCTCAACAAGTAGTTTGTCATTTTCCACAGTTATTTTTACGGTAAGTTCTTTTTCCTGAGAAAAAAAAAAATCTTCATCCAATTTTACACTGGATATTTACATTATTTTATAAAACTTAGCATTGCAACAGTTTTTTTTTTTTCCGGCTTTTATGCCTTTATTTGATAGGACAGCTGGAGACAGGAAAAGGGGGCAGAGAGAGGGAATGACACCGCAGCAAAGGGCCGCAGGTTCAGATTTCGAGACCCTGGGCCGCTGCAGCAAGGACTCAGCCCAGGCAGAATGGGTCGCCAGCTCCACTCACTGAGCCAACCGGGCGCCCAGCATTGCAACAGTTTAACATAATTTACACAACCTGTTACCTTGGTCACTGAGTCAATATATTAACATACTGTAGCTACAGAAAGAAAAAAGAAAAGTACTCACTGAGCATATAAACTTATAAATAAAATAAATCTAAAACAAATAATGATACATCATGGTATCCTGGTTTCTTTAGTTTAAAGTAGGACAAAGTTGCAGATTTACCTTTGCTAATGAATGGGAACACAATGACAGTTCTCGCTCTAGATTTTTTATCTTCTCATCACGCCATGTGGTTTCATCATCAAATTTCTCTTTGGCTCGACACAGTTTCGCCTTGTGTTTTTTCTTCATCTCGTGGTATTTACTATACAAAGATGGACAAAAATCACACATATATAATTAGCACAGTCTACTATAATGCTGATTAAACTGTGTCAAAAAAGCAAAAGGTTATACTCCATATATTATTATTATTATTATTATTATTAAGGGACATTATCTATAATGTCATAGACTGTCGAAGTTTTCACTGTCCTCTACAGGGTCTTTGGTGTTTCTTAATTCATAGCTTTATATTGTGTCACATTGTAGTATCGGTTACCTCCGCTCTTTGTCGAGGCATTTAAGTGTTTCACAGATCTCCTTCTTGAGTGTCTCACACTGAATCTTCGCTGCTTCTTGATAATCAGGACACTCCTGCAAGTACAGAAATCAGCAGTGATCAAGAATCTATGGTTTCCTTATGAAACTGGTATGTATTCTCTGAGCTTAACAAATGGGTGGCAACTGTTGGGTGTTACATTTTAGAAAATTATATGACAGAACTGAGATGAAACATATCAGTGTTGGTGTTAATATTGACATTATTACCAAAGTTATTAAAATCAGCATTTCGTGGATTGAAAATGGCTCAACACACCCTCTACTGTTTCAAATCACTCTGAACCTTGCAAGGCCAGTGCTGACATAGAGTTGACAGTTTGGAGCAACTATACGTCATGATGTTTATACTAAAAAAGAGCATTAAAGCCCTTTAATCAGAGGAGCTCAGCCCACCTCCCCAGCATCCGCTTTCATTTTGAAACGTAGGCTGATGGAGACACATCATTCATGGTAGTTTATGCAATTATTTTTGCTAATCCTCTACTTAGTGTTTTTTAATGGTTTAATGGTTTGGCATTGACGGTAACCCCACAGACACACACACATATCGAACAGTTAGCCTCTCTAAATCGTTCAAACATAGTCCAGGTAAATTACCAATTTTCCAGAATATACAAACGTATAAGACATTACCTTACACAGCTCTTTATCTTCTGTCGCAAAGGAGTCTGTCAGCTGACAGTGAGTGTTTCCACATTGCTGTGAATTGTCCTCTTTTTGCTTCCACGGCCTTCAAACAAACATATGGACACACACACAGAAACTTTCACCTACCTATGTATTACTGCAACACTGAGCTTGCATGCACACACAGCAGTTGTTGGATGGTGTAAGGTGGTAGAATATCCTACTTTTGATCCTGAACATCGTTCTCTTTGGTGCAGATGGTAGCTATAAGGTTATCCAGATCTTTATGGGAATTATCAAGCTGCTGCTTAAGGAAATGTACCTGAAAGGATAGAAAAAAGTTTTGATATCTCATAATAGGCAACAAATGCCATTGTAGAGCATTTCTCTTAAAAATAAATTTGTGTATCTGTTAATGAATATGTCGTCAATGTAATTATCTGAAATCTCTTAATAATCTTTTAATATACTAAAAAAAAACACTCACTTCTGACTCCTTCTCCAAAAGGCATCTCGTCTGAGTGCTGAGCTTATTTTTTAAATCTCTACAGATTGCATTGCTCTGAATCAATTCAGTTGCCTGAGACTGGAAACACAACAAAATCAATATCAAAGTTGACACTGTGTTTAAGGTGGAAACAAATTTTCAACCCGAGCCTAGCTAATATAATAATAAATAATATAATAAAGCAGATGTAATATTCTCATGTAATGCTCAGGGATTTGTTTAGTTAGACTTACTTTAGCTAACTCATTAGCCTGAACCTGCAAGTTCAGGAGCTGCTGCTCAGTCTGCTGCTGCTGCTGCTCCTGCAGGGCTGACTCAAGTTGCTCCACCTCGCTCTGCAGAGATACAACCTGAGACACATAACACACAGATCAATGAAGTCAAGCACAGGGTCCACATTCACAATGCACTTTAGAGGTTTGACATGGTCAGGTCAAAACCTGCTCTATTTGAAAATAGTCAGCTGCAAATATGGCTTGACCCCCAGAAAATTCTAACTAAAGGTTTCTGAGTGGTTTACAGTAGTATCAGATGTACTTAAAAACATACTAAAAGTTGACCGTCGTCGAAAGGTATTCCTAATCCGCCGGCGCCCCCAGTGAAGAATTGCTCCCGGATGGTTGAGCATGCGCCTGTGTTGAATGTGTGTGAAAACGGTGACCCAATTGCTTTCGGCCACGTCTAGTGTTTAATGTGCTTCACTTGAGTGGTTGGGACAGACAATGCGAAAGGCGCGAGCTAATAACCACCAAGTTACAGGCCTCCGATTTACCATTTTACCCATTTTGAAAAATGGAAAGACCTCGGCCAAAAACTTCTTGCAGTGATGACTCCACCAGTCAAAGTGGTTTGCGCCAAGGACGAACCAGGTCTTTTGTCGCGTTGCTTTTCTCAATCATTGAGGGAGGCTCAGAGCAAAGAACAAGCCTTTTTCAGCAAGAAAAATCTGTTAAACGCGCCAAATCATTTGTTAACCCCAGAAACGTCTGCCTCGCAACTAGTACGGTCCTAACAACGCCAAGGATTACCACTTGCCAGAAGAGTGTGAAACTTCCAGATTCCATATTGGTTAATTGGATTTGAAAGGAACCTGGTTTGACAGATCTGAACACAGTTAGAGGATTGTGGGGGAGTTGGAAGAACTTCTCTGTGTGACAAAACCGGTCCTGGCCAGTTCAATGGACCAGGTGATAAGACTGTGGCCCAAGAAAAGCCCTTCCTTGCAGATGCATC